TACATATATGATATATATACACAAATGTACCAACAAATGTCTCACTTACAAAACCTTTTATTATTTTTTAGGACTATGACGATGGCCTATCCTCCCAAATATATTATAAGCCACTTTAAGAAAAAAAAAATAATGGTTGTACCAGTTCACATTTCTACCAGCAATGGAGAAAGCCCACTTTGTCTCAAACAACCTTGCTGGAATTTGATATAGTATGATTTTTTTCGATGGTGCCTTCCATTCTTTTGAGTAAAAAGAAATCTCGATATTGTTTTAGTATTTATTGTTAATGGTCAGAAAAGTTGAGAAATTTTTTATATATTAATTGACCATTTGTATCTCTTCTCAAGAGAAGTGTGTATTAATTTAATTTGCATGTTATATAATTCAGTCTGTATATTGAATGTTTTACTTACTTTCTTGTTGCTGGAACAAAATGCCTGAAACAAATGAGATAAAGGAGGAAAGATTAATTTCAGGTCAGTTTGTAGAGGATTCAGTCCATATTTGGCTGGCTCCAAGGCAGGGCATCATAGTAGAGGGAATCAAAGAGGAGAAACAGTACATGGTGTGACAGGCAAGAGGCAGGAGCCTTCTTTCTGTGTATCAGTCAATGTTTACTAGAGAAACAAATATAATACCAGATATACAAATATATAAGAATTTACAGTTTGGCTTATAAAGGCTGCCCACAGAGTAAAAGGTGGAAGAGTGCAAAAGGTCTGTCTGTGCACTGGGGATTGAAAGGATCCAGCTGAAGGCCTGGAGCTCCATGTAGTGTCCCATGCAAGTCTGTATCAGGAGGCCAAATGGCCTGTGTCAGAAGGCTGAAAAGTCTGTGCCAGAAGGCTAGAAGTTCTATGCCAGAAGGCTGAGGGGTTGATGCTAGAGGCTGAAAAGTCTATACTGAAAGCCAAGAAATAATGGCCAAGGTGAACATGAAGACTATAGTTCCTCCAAAGGAAAAAGAAGCAACCTTTCCCTCTTCATTTCCCTTTTATAGTATTCTGGCAATAATCCCTTCAAAGGGTGGGTCTTCCACACCAAAAACTATGCTAAGCAAATTTACTTGGGCATTATTTACTCAAATTGACACAATTGATCAACTATCACATTATACTTTCACTTTTTTTATTCCACTAAAGCTACAAGTTTATCGATTGATACTACTCACATCCAAGGTTGGTAAACTCATTCAGCCACACCCAAAACTATGCTAAGCGAATCAGTGGACTAATCCAGTATCACACACACACACGATCCAATATCATGCAACCTAGATCCAGCTACCTCTGAAAAGCCATACCTATGAGAACATGAGGCTTCAGGGGCAACAGCTACATACTAACTTTTTGCCATAACCTTTTGCCACTGGTCCAAAAAAGGCTCACAAACATACCTTTATGTAAAATACACTTAGTCCTTCTCTAAGAGTTTGTTCCAAAACTAAAAACTTCAGCATTGTTGAAAAGTCCAAGTCCAAATTCTCCTCTAAGACATAATGTAATCTCTTAGCTGTATGCCCTTGTGAAAATGAAATGAAGGGAGGGCTGGGCAAGGGTGAAAAATAAGAACAAAGAGAGATTATGTAAAGGTGCAACTTTCCAATGATGAATGTCATTATATTGCATACCTAAAATGTACCAATGATTAGAATGAATAATCGATAATGTAAAATAGGAAGAAAAGGTCCA